ATCTAATAATTTATTAAGCGATTATCGAAGAAATTATGAAACAAACAATCGATATAGATCACCATGCGATTTATATCGTGTTTCTGATTATTTTCTAAATAGTTTTTGCGACGATGGCAAATGTCAAAACGTGCGTCAAGATTGAAAGAACGAAAAAACTAACTTGCACAGTAGCACATGAACAGCGAGAGAAAGAGAAAGCTGGTACCGAGCGCGGAAAGTTCGAGACTTTGCAAACACTTTGTCGCATATTTCGCGTGTTTAAACAAACTTCGTCCATTCTCCGAGTTTTATCGGTTAGCGTTACGTTTATTCATATAGGATAGGAAGAAAATAAGCGAAAGAAAGGAAGGGAAACTTGACGTGATTATGTTATTGCATATGAAATGTTCAGAATTTGAAATTGGAAAAAGGTGATTCTTGTTCGTTTTTTTCTTCTTACAAAAAAAAAAAAATTTAATTTTTTTATAGATTTGAATTGTTTTTAATAAGATATTTATAAGTTTTTTATTATTATAAAATTTTTCTGTAAATATTATAATTGTAATTATATCACATTACAGAAAAATACATATTTAATTGAAACATGAAATTATTTGAATTTTATAATTGAAATTATGGATAAATGTGGTTTGTTTTGTAAATATTTAAATATAAAATTTAAACAATACGATTTTCTAAGTGAATATTAATTGCCATAATTAAATTAAGCAATGAAACTTGAACGCTTTATCAACTTTATACGAACTTTACGTTACGATAATAAATCATTGAGACGAATTTTTAGTTTAAATATTAGAGACCCGTGGATATAAAAATATTTCGAAGTTAATGGAAATATGTTCTACATTTTCTCTTTTTATAATATTATTTAATAGAATGGATAAAGTCATCAAGTTTGAAAGTAATAAGATTCAATTCGGAGAAAATTCGTTGCAAAAATTAAAGGTGGAAGTAATTATGATTGCGAAAAATCTACGCGAAATAACACCATTCTTGTATTATTTCTCACGCGGGCATAGATTCTTTGGAAAAGTAAACAGGAAAAAAATCGAGCTGTTTCTACATCAAAAGACGATGCAATATTCTTAGAATTTGCTATTCGAGTTCTTGAATAATTTTCCATTTTTATTTATGCTATTTTTTGATTTATGGACAAGAATAATGGCGATTCATAACAATTTTCTTTAATAAGGGAAACAATTTTTTGATAAAAGAAGATAGAAATTAATAAGATTAAACTTCGTTTTAACGAACATCAAATTTATTTATTTATTTTTTAATAGAAAGTTTTCTAAATTTGAAAAATAGAATCCAAAAATATTTTTCATTCTCATTTCTTTTTTTTTTATGAAATATTTTCTAAGAAAAATAGGTCTGCTATTTTAACTTTCCACTTAAATAATTCAAGTTGGCGAGCATTTATCAACATTAAATTATTTTTAGAGGGAAACTCGAGGTCGACCGGAAATCAGAGACGAGAACTCGGGTGAGCTAGTCGGCAAATGGCGGAACAATGGCGAGGCCTTAGAACCTAAATGGCGGGATGGCGATACAGTTCCTCTGCTTCCGTTTTCCCAATTTTCCCGATTCTCCAGGGACAAAATCGACAACGAGGAGGAAGAGGACTACGATAATCGTGGAACGAAATACCGTCAAAACAATGGACGAGAAAATTTTCTTCGTACGAGGAACAATCATCGAGCACCTTATAACGATCACGAGGATTACGAATCTATAGAGAACAGGCATGGATATCGCGAACGGGAAGAAATATTGCCACGAAAAAGAAATCGATCCTGGCCTATCGAGAATACGGCTATTTTTAGAGAGACGAATAATAGAAAGAAAGATCAAAATAGAGATCTCAACGAGGACAAAGAAACAACGTCGATGAGATATCGAGAGATATTTCAAGTACGTCCGAATGATTATGAACATGAATTCAACGACGAGGAGTATTTGAAGCCTCGACCGAGAAAACGAAGACCTCCGCAAAATTACGAATTTGCTTTGGTGGAAAACGAGACGTTGTTGAATGAGAAAAGAATAAGCAATAATCCTGCAACTTGGATTCGAGGGAATGGTCAAGAAAATCCGCCAGAAACGACGTCAAAAAATGATCAATTTTTACAGAACGCCATGGAGCTAAAATCATTATTGAAGATGCAACAGGAAGAGGGTTTGAGTTTGTCAGAGATCCTACAGCGCAGAAATTTGACTCTGAACGATCTACTGAGAGGCAAGGTTGATGTGATCAATGCTTTGAAGATGAAAGATGTCGAGGAATCCGAGGATTACGTTGAAGAGGCGGCGAAGATGATGACCAACTCGTTCGCGAAACTCTCCACAACAACGAAGAAACCAGAATGGATGCACAACGTGAAATCTATAAAAGAGAAGAATTCTCAGAATGACGAGGAATTCGTAATTTCGTTCATTCCATCGAACAGTAGCTTGCGTAAGAACCAGGCGAAGGGATCCTCGTTGACTAGAATAAATAGCGGTGAAATGTATTCAGAAGTTGGGAACGCAACGAGTGGAAAATTGATTCCCGCCAGTGTCGATCCTCCACGAGTCAAAGTTGCTATTACGACACCGATGCCGTTACCGGTTGCAACGAATTCTATGGAGCTATTGCAAGCAGACGATGCTACTGTGAAATCACGCAACAATGACGAAATCGGAGCCGAGAGTTTAGACGAGGACGAAATCATGGAATTTTCTGATTTCACCGATTACAAGAAGGGAAGAAATGGTGTGTCTCCGGTTTGGTTGATGATGAAAGACGGAGATACAAGCAAATCTTCCAAAAGAATAGAAAGTACGAAAAATCATTTTGAGGACAGAGGATCGACCTTGAGTATTGAAAAAATATTAAGTCCCACGGAACGTTCAAAATCAATCAGTAATTTATCGATTAATTCTGAGAATGAAGAACAACTTCTTGTTAATTCCACTAATGTTAACAAAAGTGCGATAATTAGGAATGAAGATCATCGAGTTATCCTAGAGCATTCTGAAGATGATTACAGTACTTCTGAAAAAGAATATCAGAGTGATATGCCGATGATGTATTATGATTTGGAACAAAGCACAGAGGTCAATAATTCCAACGATCAGAGGGATATGAGTAAAATTATAATACAGGAAATAGAATCTGCGCTAGATGCAATGTCACATAATATTAATTCCACTATAGAAAATTATCAAAAACTTACAAAAAATCCATCTATAGATAAAAATAGTAATAATACTCTGAGAAATCATCAGAATACAAACACAACCGAGAAAAAAAGCTATGATGATATTATATCAGAAGTAGAGCCTGAAGCTCGAGCAGAGATTTTTGAATTATTTGCTTCTGGATCAGCAGGAAAGAGATTAGAACGTCTTCTTAAATCGAGGAACATGAGCTTAGAGGAATTAATCGCATTGAGACAAAGAGGTTCTAGTAAGGTTCACTTAGCTGAAGTATCGCGACTCAGAGCTTACAAATCAAATGATGAATACAGAATGAAGAATGTAAATATCTTCAAAGAAATCAAATCTTCGTCTAATGAGGATTTTGACATAGAAAAAGTTATAAATCATGAAAACCATGACAAAAGAATTGACAATATGTCACAATCGAGTGAAAATCTAAAAAACGTTGATTCATTATTAAATTCAACGAATTCTATTCGTCCTGAAGAAAATACAACTGACCAATTGATGCCCGATTTAAAATCAAATAGTCACACTAAAGATATAGAGTTTAACAATTCTTCAAAAATAAGAAATGAAGATAATAACAGCAAGGAAAACATCAAAGATAGACATACAGTACAAATTGTTGATCTATTGACAACTTTTAGTTCTCTTCCGTTCATTAAAGATATACAACGAGAGTTTTCAGATCAATACGGTAATCGAGAAGATAAAAACAAATTACTATTACAGAGTAACAATCTTGGCGTGATGTTCATAAACAATGAAAAAACAATACATATCAATGATACATCAAATATCGTAGAATCTGGTTTTGTTAAAGAAATTGTAAAACAAGAACCAAGTTCTATTAACATTCAAACTGTATATAGCGAAACTGACAATATTTTCGATGAAAATGAAACTAAAAGCGAGAAAACCCTTTCAAGAGTAAAACCAACCATAATAGCAAGTGGCGCTATTCTTGGTGTAACTCTCGTAGTTTTCTTAGCGATATTCATCATATGCAGAATTCGACAAAAACAAAAATATAGATATAAAAACACGTTTTCTAGAGCGGTATTTCAAGGTCCAGTAATGGCAGCCAGGAAATTATCAAATTCGAGTAGTCTAAGTACTGTAATGGTCAATGTAGTTGCCACTTCAACGACAAAAAGGCCAGAAAAAACCGAAATTCAGGAACCTGCGAGAGAAGTGGATTCCAAAAGTGACATTGATAATGATTCATTAGATGCTAATGATAGCTGGGAAACAATACCTGATTACATGAAATAAATCAATTTTGATGTATTTGTAATTTGTCTTCAAAAAAAAAGAAAAAACTAAAAAACAGTATTTTTACGCTTATATTAATTTAAAATATACACATATTAAAAATTTCAAACTTAAATCATATTAATTTAAGGAAGTAAAATATTATTAAAAATTAATCAGTGATTATTAATTATAATTTTTTTGTTAAAATAACAAATTTACATATTAGTTTTACAAATATGAATAATTGTATATATAATTGTATAGAACTTCTAATAGATTATTTTGCGACAACTAATAAAATTTAATATAAGTTTTACTGTAAGTTTATGTAACTTAATATCATATAAGAATATCAAGATTTATTTTAATATTCTCTTAATATTACAGAATATAATAGATTCTTCTAGCATTCTTTAAATTTCATTCTATTTTTTAAATTTATGAATAAGATATATTTATTTATATATGAATAATTCACAAGAGAAATAAATTACTTTTTATATAAAAAAAATTACAATTATTTTATTACTTACCAGTATCTTTCATAAGTAAAAACATCCCTGAGTATAGCAGATACAGCATTATTATTGTTTTGAAATACCTTATTAAAGTAGGAATACTGTCTTGCAATATTTCGACATTGTTTTAGAGCAGCTTCTATAATAAAATTTACAAAAAAATTTATATTATTAAAGTAAAATTTTTATGAAAATTAAAATTAAATATTAAGAGAAATAAATATTAAATATTAAGAGATCATAAAATTACAAAGATTTAAAATAGAAAATTTCAAATAAAGATATTTTTAAGATATTTTAAGATATTTTTGTATAAATATATTTGTATAAATATATTTTATTTAATAAATTGTATAAACATTTACCTAATGTAGGACTGCCTTTAAGTTCAATCATATCGGCAGCAGTCATGTATAACACAGTTGTATAAGTAGTGGGAAGGATATCCAAATAAGGCTTCCATTTCGAATTTTCTTTGTGTCTTTCGATAAGAAGCGCAATCGCGAGCGCCACTTGGGGCATATGCTGTATTAGAGGATCATTTTGAAGTGTAATTAATTCTGGAGCTGCATTGTGAATACTGAAAATAAGTCCCCTAGGTATCCTTAAAATTAATTCATTTTCGAGGAAATTACGTTCTGCTTTTAAACCCAAATCGTATCCTGGAAATTCAGCAACGCTCGCTCCGTCTACATTCGCGCCATTCTCTTTAAGCCAATTTATGAATTGTCCAATCCCCTGGGATCGTTTCGACGACTCCGTCTTCATTTCCTCCAACCTTTTAACCTTCTCCAAAATCGTTGATATCTCCACATAATTGTCCCATAATTGCGTTACATACGCTGAATTAATACTCACTATTTTAAAAAATGAAAATTATTTTTTTAGCAGCATAAATAAATATTACTCATTATTTTATTAACATCGTTATGTGAAAAATTTATAATGTGTTTTGTAAAAACTAGCAAGGTTAAATAGAATAGCTTTTTATAAATTTAAAATATTTTTAATGATTAATGAACAAAGTTCATACAATGATTTTATAGTTAACATCAAAATATTTTTATTTATCTTTCATTAATAATATAAAAATTTAATAGCATTGTTTAATATTTTGCAATCACGTTAGAGCAACTTATTAAAAAATAGTAGAATTAAGAAAAATATATAATATTAAAAAATACTTTCATCAAAAATATACTCACGAACAAATAGTTTTTCGCACAAGGCATTTATCTCGTTTCTTTTTGCTAACGATAATTGCCTTTGATGTGGAACATGTTGTTTACTTTTAGATGATCCGTGAGATTTTCTCCTGCCCATGTTTGTACTATCTCACGGCACTTTCGTGACTTCTTCTCACATTTAGATGCATTATAATGTGTAACGCGCGCCTACGACTGGCAAGAATAAACACTTTTCGCCGAAACGAAAATAGAACATCCGATGCTGTACCTTCTCAATCTCGGACAACATAACCTCAAAAATGCAAAGCGGAGCTACCTTCGTTCTTTGTGTATCACGAACTCCACTGCACTTTATTGATTTTCAATTTCTGTCAGAGGTCACCTACTTTCGCAATTACGCCAAACGCCTTGTCAGAATCACATCTGATCATTCTTTTTTTTTGTTCCTTCGAGACATATGCCCATGCCATTTTCCTGAACAAATTTAATACAATATATTCAACAGTAAAATCCATTATTATTGCACTAATATAACAAATAGTGACTTTATTTAATTTAGCAAATATATTATTTACGTTGATATTTTTGCGTTATGATGCTACTTTTTTAAAAACGCATATATTTACATTCGAAGAATATATATATATATGCGTATATTAAATATTAAATTTTTTTTATATATTTACATAAAATTATTTACCAAATAAATGGAGTGAAGTAGTATACAAAACATAAATAACACAATTTTCTTTTATATAAGATTTGTATTGTACAAAGTATGCAAATAAACAGATGACTTATTAAATCTTTAAGAATAAATTTATATTGCCTTTATATTGTACTTATAAAATTGTCATTAAGGAGGATCTAAAAACATAGTTAAAATAATTATTTACAAACATAAAATAAAGATTTAGCTTCTACTTCACTCCTCTGTTTATATATTTATAGATTTAGATATATTACCTATAACAGAAAGCATGTACATATTATAGGTATGTATAAAATAACAAAAATATTAAATTTTATAAATTAAAAAAAAATTAAAAGAATAATAAAAAGAGAAGAATTAAATTTAAAAAATATAAAACTTAAAATGATAAGTGAAAAAATAATTTGGAAGATCATAATTTGGAAAAAGATAAATATCATTTGTTAATAGTTTAACATTTATTAATTTGATATAAAATTATTTGTAATACTCGTATCAGGCTAATAGCCATGTATTTATCCTTAAATTTAGTTTCATAATATTCACATTTTATATTTAACGTAAAAAATATTTTCTTTTATATATTTAAGTCGTTTACTAAGAGTACATTTTTAGAACCCCCTTAATGTTTATAAATTATTCAGTTTGTGTACAACTAAAAATAATATAATAAAACAATAAGATTTTTCCGCTGCAAAGTAAGATAACTAATTGTAACATTTTTTTTTACAAAAAGTAACCAAAAAACGTAAATAAAAGGTACAACTTATTTCAAAAACAATAAATTGGTAACAGTTAATATCAATAAATTGAAATATTTTATCTACTAACCACTATTTGCAAACGAATTTTTATATTATTTTAAAATTACGTATGAAATTTTTTTATGATAAAAATTTTTCATACATGATTATTTTTATAACTTGAATGTAAAATTTAATTATGTTGTACCACATTTGTGACAATAGCATCAAAGAAATAAAAAAAGAAAAAAAGAGAGAAAGAAATACATCGATAACAATTGATAGAAAATTTAAATATCTGATTAAGAAAGTTATCATAATTGTATAATTTGTACTGAGTACAGATAACACACTATATCTTTAATATTATATTTGATTATGCATTATGCAGAATCATAGATATATTATACATTCTACAACATTAGCTATAAACTTCTTGATATTTCTTTGCAGCGGAAAACTCGTACCTTAAATATTAAAGATACACGTACAATTACAATAATATATACCATTATTTATACAGCCTAACCTCTAAATAGAGCCTTATAGACCACATGATTTCTTCTTAAACTGCTACTTCAATAGAAAGTTATCGAAATCCATATATATCACGAAATTAAAACTATAATTTGTTTTGACTCGATGCATTGTGTATGTCATAAATTCTACACTTTGTAAAAACCGAAAATTATATACTTCATCCCCTTAATAAATGTGTGCGATATTTTCATAAATCTTAATTTTATATTATCATTTTAAACAGTTACTCTCTTTCTATAATTCAGACAATTCTGTTCACATAGATACACATTACAGTATACCAAATAATTTACGGACCATGCATTCAAAGTACTGGAGTAGTCTAAAAATGACTTTCATGATTTTTAAATAATCTGCATAAGGACACCAGCCGCTCATGAAATTTTGCTTTATGGTCCCCTGGTTTTATCACTAAAAGATTCAAGGAAAATAGCATTTATGGTTACTGTAGAGTGTATCAATACACTATTCAAGGGGAATTGTTAACATGTTAACTGCCATGTAAGTTTTGTTTCACTTTAAAAACTATAATAAAAATTTCATTATTATATGATTAAATAAACCAAATTCTTTTTAATAGTGCGTTTATTTTCTTATTGATCATCTGTGACTACCATATAAGTCCATGTTTTTTACTATTTTCGATATTTCATCATTATCGATGTATAAATAAATCAAATTAACTGAATTTAGAATGACATTTGCAATATATCTAATACATGACAAATATATACGATTTATCTTCATTAAGTATAATTATTCAATAAAAATAAGGCCATAAAATTTAAAAAGAGAATCGGCGAATATATTTAATGTGAAAATTTTATTTATAATAAAGACTGCGATTATTCATTTCAATTACTTATTTTTGATTTAAATTTTTTAAATACACTGTATCATAACATAATAAAAATTATTAATTATTGAATAACACATTTTTTATATTGTAATGTTACTTAATTATTTACATTACCAAATATCTTTTTTAATCAATAACATTTATCTTATTTTAATTGTTTTAGAAAATATAATGCCAGTCATTGATGACCACCATGGTCTCATTGTGAGAACATGTGGTTACGGATGATTACCGTGGCAGTCAACATGTTAAAGACTACGAAACACATAGTACATAAATATTAAATTACTTTTCATCCAATTCGCAAATATTGGAGTAAATTGTGCAGATACTATGGAGTCAAATTTACAAAACTTCTAATTCTCTCATATCAGGTATTTTTCTTTCCTTTTTTAGTATATATATTTCATACACTTTTAATTCATTTTCTTCTATTGTGTAGCAGTATCTGAAATGCTTTGCCGCCATGTAGCATGGAAAGGAATCTTCAAGATTTTAACCCTTGTTTTAGGCAATGCAGTCAATAAAAGTTTTTGGAGTTGGGGTAATGGTAATATATCCACTTGAGGATTTGTTAAATTTGGTTGTTGTTTGTCATCACCTTAAAAATAATAAAAAGGTACAAAATTAATTGTAATTAATATAAAATATATTTAAATTTTTTTTTATATAATATATATAAAAGTATGTTAATTTCTAAAATACCTTTTTGATTGTCATTTTCATCTTCAATATCTTCAATTAATTTTAGACAAGGTACCGGTTTTAAAACTGGTATTGAGTCACCAGTAACTTGTTTACTCATTAGATTACATTGATCAACAAATAATTCAGTAACTCTTAATAATTCAAGTGTGACGCCCCATACGAAATGCGTCAAATTATTTGATAATTCAGTAACACCTCCAAGCACCATATTATTAGATGTTGCTGATTGAGATATGTATGTTGGTATAATTAATAACCTTTTAATATTTTTACAGTTTGCAAGACATTTATCAAAACCATTTTTAACATCAAAATTAACTAATTCCATTTGACTCAAGTTTTGCAATTTAGATACACCATCCAAAATATCAAATGTACAACATGAGCCTTGACCTTTTTCAAGTCTAAGGCGTTCTAATTTTTGTAACTTTATTAAAACTGTGGTACCAAATTTATCTGGAAAATCTGAACATTCACCCAATTCTAATGTTTCCAAATTCACTAAAGCTTGTAATATATCAATTCTTTTTTTCCCAAGTTCTTTAACTGATGTTAAACTCTAAAAAACAAATTTAAATATTAAAAAAACCATTCGGGAGTTAAAATTAAAAATGAATTTAAATAAAAATTATATTTACTAATTGTGTTAGTTGCGTTAATTCTTGTAATGGTGTAAGATCTTCTTGCAGAGACATCCCACTAATTGCTTTAAGCCTTAATTCTTGACAACGTTTAAGATTTCCAACTGATTCTAAATTTAAGGAGTCACATTTTATTGACATTGCACTCAAAACTTCTAATTGAGGGCAACTACTAATAACTTCTTCAACAACCATCACAGGACATTTACATAATTCTAATTTGACAAGGCTAGTTACGCGTGGTATTACTATTAAAAACTTTTTCCAAATGCTATCAGATTCGCCTGCTACAAGCATTTTTCGGAGATCTAAATGTTGAGTACCACGCCTTTGCAATGTGTCTGCTAAACCATCCCAGTCTGTTACTTGACTATTTTTCATTCGTACAGTCTTCCACAAAGAAGGATGTGCAGCTAAATCTCGCCACATTTTACATACTCTTGCAGCTCGAAGTAATTCTTGAACCTTAAGGTATTGAAAAATACGCAACAATGCATGATAACCAGCACAAACTGAATCCATAAAATGTTGCTGAGGTTCTATATCTTGTCGATTTTGTTTCCTTCTGAAAGTGTTAAAATTAAAATTTTTAGATGATTTCTTTTAAAAATATTAACCTGCATAATAAGGGTATCATTTTTTTTTATGTATGATGTTGGTTATAATTAAAAAAAGTGAATAATTTTTAATACTGAAATTTTTATTTGATATTGATGAAAGAATATTATAATTTTTAAAGAGGCTTTTGAAGGACCAATGAAATTTATAATGATGCCAACAATTTCATGTTATATCAAATAAAAAATATAAAAGCCTCTGAAAAAAATTTCAAAGATCGAAATTATTATTTCATAATAGAATGAAGGTATAATAACAAAAAAACAAACATAAATAGGAAATGGAAATAATGAGGAACAAGGAATTTCGGATATTTTTGGGAAAACGCACTAAGAGTTTTTTGTGTTTCAGCTCGCACATGTCTTTATATCTGTAAATATAAAAAGTAAAAATGAATTAGATTTTTTCCACTGAAGCACTTATCAGTAGCTGTATTTGCAATTGTAGTATGAATGTAAATAATATGATACCCAATTTTCTATATATATTTTGGAAAAAAATTTTAATTAAAAAAAAAATTTTACTTTGATACTACAATTACACAATACCTGCAAGAACCAACGTGATTGTTTTGTTGATTTTTCACACGTCTCAAGAATTTGGCCGCATTTCTAAGAAGCTAAGGCAGTGTGCTTCGATCACAAGATAAAATCAAATTCATTTTTCACCCCGAATTTTTATATTTCCAAATATAATAAACATCAGTATATATTGCATTTACAATACTATTTATTTAAATTTTGTATGATAAA